CATAGGACTCTGGATATAAAATCCAGAGAATACCCGGTGATACAGTATAGTGATGGCTATAGACATCGATAGCTGTGTTAGGTTAATAATTAGACTAATGTTAGCTCGCCCCTGGATTAAGTACGTATATTACAGAATGGAATGTTGCTCGAAAACTTCGTACCATTTATACTTTTCTGAGGTACTACCTCCGTCCCTAAAAACTTACACGGATCGGTTTTACACCAAAATTATACTTGTTTCCACTATGGTTTCAAATCGCTACGAAAGAGACAGGACCTCAGCAGCTCTGCTGGAGCACTGGATACTCAGGGGAAGTCTTCCCTCCTTCTCCAGGTGAGCTTTCCCCATGTGAACAGGCTTGAAGTTATTTCCACCGTTCTCCTGGATGCACTTGTCCATCGTAGTCTGTAAACTTAGGAACGCGGCATTAATAGTAGACGGCGGCAGTGCCCAGAACGCAGCTTCAACAGCCTCAATGAGCTCGTTCACGTTTCGTGTTTGCTGCTGTTCCTGCCTGGATTGGATTGCTGTAAACAGCCCTAGATCGAGCACATTTAGATCGGGGCTGTTTGGTGGCTGAAATACTAGCTCAATAGAGCGTCCGCATTGCTCAACAGCTTCTAGAAATCGCCAGTCGTCAGTAGGAATGTGAGGGGTTGCGTTGTCCTGTTGGACGTCGATTTTTACGCTTTCGTCCATCGCCCAGGGCCAACGCTCTGTAATTGCCGGAAGAAGCTTCTCTATCAGCATTTGACGGTATGTAACCTTTGACACGTTGACAGACTTGGTCTCAATAGTGCCTGCAGGCCGTTTTGCACTGCTCCGAATGGCTGCTTGCTCCACTACAAACGGCCATATTCCGAGCTTACCATCAAAGCCCGCACCAGTAGCAAGATCTCGCCGTGGGCGAGCTACCGCCGCTAGGAACATTACATGACTGATATGCCGCTTGGATTTCACATGCCGCTTTGGTGCTTGCTCTCCGGGTAGAAGATAGAACCGCTTTTTAACTTTTGAAATATAAAAAAGCTTTTCATCAACGTGAATTTTCGCCATCATGTCATCGTAGAGCAGCGTATGCAGGTTGAGGTGCCCCTTGCACCATGCTAAACGTGAAGCTACATTTGCTTCTGTTAGCAGAGGTCTCACAATGGACGTGTGTGGTGTGAGAGCCCCATCTTGGATGCGTCGATGCAGCGAGTACCGCGGAACACCGCATGCAGCAGCTGAAGAGCGCACAGTAGTTCGCTTTAACAGATCAACATCACGAAGTAATTCGATCTGAGCGCTGTAGTCCTTCCTTGGTCGGCCACTGTTGTCCTTTAGCGATTTGGCCGCATAGCTTCCAGTAGCTAGAAAAGCATTACGAGCTCTGCTCCAAATACGTGAAATTGTGCTGGGGTCGACATCAAACTCGGCGGCCACAAAGGCTAGAGCCCCTCGAGCAGGCGTTCCGTCCGTCGAGAGACTGAGTACGGCCGAAACAACGCGGCTGCGGTCCTCGTCGCTTAGTTCTTTGGTCCTCGAAGAAGGCATTTGAATCAATGATGGGAGGATGGGCGAAATCTTAAATGAGCACCTCGCGCACAGTGAAGGAAAACACCTCATCGCCACACTTTTGACTGGCTCGGGGTCAATTTTGAAGACCTCGGCAGGCTGCGCACACCATTGAAAAGCCCAGCATACACCCAATTCATTTCTACCAATTACATGCTGCTTTGCGGTGTTTTTAGCCAATACAGAGTAGGATAATCACTTTCATGCAGCTTTTTCGGGACGGAGGTAGTAGTATTGTACTCATGGGCCATGCGTCATGGCAACTAATCAGTCAAATTTACCTTACCACCCATCAACACAACTTGCACTAGAGTTTTGCTTCCAGTCCGTGCCACCCCGGGTGTTGCTTCCGCTATAGCATTTCATTTAAGAAATGCAATTGAGTTTAAAAACTCAAGTGTACAATCGTTTACTCAGAATTTGTTAAAAGCCCCGTGTATAGTGATCAATAGCGTTCGTTAAAACTGAGCTATTTTAGTCGATAAAGTGTACAGAGAAAACGCACAATTTTATTTTAGGGAATTTGTGCATCCTGGTACGATAATTTCGTACGTCCTCTACAATAAAAATATTGAAAGATTCAGCGGTCGAACTCTATATCGGTTGAATTAAAGAAATACCATTTAGTCTAGATCGCCGTTCATTGTGATGCGGTCGCATGACGAGCTGATCGTCTGCTTCGAGGTAGAACATAGTCTTCCTGATATCCATGTAGCGCGTAAAAGATGTCTTCTCGTAAACAGAAAATATCACATTGTTTGATCCATCTTCGCTCCGCAAAGCTTTACTACTCTTTGACTTCATACTACTGTAGTACTTCTACACATTGTTTGATCTTCTACACATTGTTTGATCCATCTTCGCTCCGAAAAGCTTTACTACTCTTTGACTTCATACTACTGTAGTACTTCTACCGTATAGTAGCCCGGTTTGGCGACCGATCAGCTGAGCTTCAGCCACTAACTCGCGGAGTTGTTCTGCTTGGCCTCCAATGCTACCAGCTCCCGATAAAATCCGCTGTTCGGTTGCACTTGAGGCCGAACTCGCCTCAATTTACAGAGTGCATCAGCGAGCGAGAATCCCCGACGTGCAATGAGGTATGCCAGGATAACCGTTGAAGACCTTGAAATTCCCATAAAGCAGTGCACAAGCACCTTCCCTCCAGAAGATAAGGCACTATTGTACAACGCAATATGTCAGCCTCCTACAAATTACACGATCATTCTACCGACACACCTGTCGATGAAGCCGAAAGCATCGTCAAAGTAGTCTGAAATTCTCACAGAACTTAGATCTGCCACTTGTAGCTGTAAGTACGTGAACACATCGGGAAAACTGTACAGTTTGTCAGTGCAAATTGTGCAGTAACAAACACTATTTTCACTCACTTGAGTGGTAGAGTTGGTGATACGCACAGCACGTGGGTGATGCCCGTTGTCTTGAGAGCTTCTAAGTTATTAGCCGCACCGTAGGACCCGATAAAGAGGCCAGGAACAGCTCCCACTGCCACCTCATAAGTAAGCAAAAAAACTAAGAACTCACAACTCCACAACTTTTTCACAACGACCTGTCGAGAATTTGTTGATGGTCAGTGATGCGCTCGATCTTACCGGGATATTATCATGGCTCTCGAACTTCTTCGCCATTAGCGCCTCGCGGAGCTTACGAAAGCCCGAGGAAGTCCCTTTTCTCGTGATGACGGCGGAGGACGACGTCCATGTGGAGTCACAGGACGTCTTGTTAGCCAGCTGATCATCGTGGGACCCAGCAGATGCAGCTATAGAAGCCTTGGCAGTCTGCATCGCGCCCAAGCAGGAGCCGTCCGCGAGTGTGACAAGAGGTTACTCACAACGGCGTCACAGTATTTGTTGAGTTTAATGCCGTACTTAGACGGTGTAACGTTGGACAGCGACGGTGTCGACCACCGAAGAAGAAGAGGAGACCAAGACGTTAGCGGAGACTGTTGTGATGCAGGAGGCCATGGGCTTACTATATTATGTTTATTACGCCTTCTTTTCTATCCAAAGCGAGCGAGGGTCTTGACGTTCTCCTCGCGGATTCCAAACATGCAGTGTACGACCGGGTTTCCGGAGGTTGTTTATATGTTGCCCGCCTCGAGCTTGACGGGCACGGCCGCGACGGCCGGGACGGGAGGCAGCTGGGCCTGTTGCAATTGCTGCAACTGCTGCGCTTGCAGTTGCTCCTGCTGCTGGCGCTGGGCCGTAAGCAGGTTGTGGTGCATCCGGCAGTAGCCCTGCTTCACCTGGCCGTTCTTGGTGCATTGGCCGTAACGGCAGCGGCGCGCGCCGCCGTGCATCTTACACACGCCGCGCCACTGTGCTGACTTCTTGCAGCCTTCAATACGGCAGCGACGGCCTCCCCCGTGGAGAACGCAGTGGCCTCCGCCCTGGTCGCTCGTAGTGCATCCGGGCGTCGTACACCGGCGACCGCCGCCGTGCGCCTTGCACAGTCCACGCGAACGAATGCCCTTCGTACAGCCCTCAACCTTACAGATGCGGGTAGCCGTCGTGCGCTTCTTACGCGGAAGCGTAGGCGGCGGCACCATGCCGCCGGCAGCAGCCGCGAGCGGATCGAAGGCACCAGGCATACCCACTGTGCCGGCCGGCACCGGCAACGTGCCCGGCAGAACAGCCCGGTCTTGCGTCGGAAAAATCGGCGCGACCGGAGCGGGTGTCTGACTCATGGTGAGCAGCATGTCTGCCGGAGCGGTGGTCATGCCCATGCTGTTGCTGTAGAAAGCCGGCGGCTGCGTCTGGGAGACCGTAGCGTTCATGTCCGTCGAATGCATCGGCGAAGCGAAAAGGAGCTGCAGACCGGGCATTTGCTGTCCGCGCGGCTGAGTCGGGTGCTGTGCGTTGACGGGCGTCTGACCGGTCGGCATCTCCTGGAGCACCTCGCGTAGCATCTGCGCGTCCATCGCTAGGTCCTCATCGTTAGAGCGCGGCATCGATTCGCTGTGCTGAAGAAGTGGATGAAGCGCTGGTTGCTGTGGAGGCTGTTGCTGGTGCAGATAGTCGCCAAGCATTGGCGCACCCGTGCTGTACGTCGGTGCGCTCCAGGACGCTGGAGCCGAAGTTGTATGTGTATCGCGTGGCGGCAGGAGCTGCTGTGTGTAGTATCCAGTCGGAGTCGAAAGTCGCGGTGGCAGGTTGATGCCGGCGTTGGCATTGGCATAGTAGTTGTTGCTGTGCTGCTGGTCCAGCGTGAAGCTAGGAAGCGGCTGCGACGTGCTAGACGTGGCTTCCGTCGGGTTGGTCGCGATGCTCGTGGGCGACGACCACTGCTGCTGCTCTGGATGCATTGGATCCTCTGAAGATGGTTCTGCTTTGAGTTGCGTGAGGAAGCTTGAGAACTGAAGCTCGTTGCGCTCGGCAGTTGGTACCATTGATCGAATGGGAGTTGTAAGCAAGATTGCTTATGCCGAGTGTAAATCGGAAATGCGGATGGTGCAGCTCAACCAAAGCCGAGCCGTGTTTGGTTGTCTGTTGTTACGAACGTTGGGCTTGGGCTTTTATCTTGTTTGGCTCGGCGAAGGGGATTTGGTGCCGCAGACTTGGCTAAGATGAGAGACATACGGTGGCGGACCTTCGGTGCGGGGCGTGTGAGTAGCACGTGGAACCAGTGGAGATGCTTGAATTGAGACGCCGGATGTCTCGCAACCAAGCGCACAGTCCGGTCTCTGCATGGAGAAGTTCATTCGGGGAGAAAAACCGAGCAGACCCGCACGCTGCCCCGTTTTCCGACTGAGAGAGACAGAGGAGACTTTGGTGCCGCCGCTTGGCTCACAGCGCCGCGATCCAACACCAAACGAGTGCTTGAGATTACCAGGACGGCGCCTCTACATCTCGGTATCCCCACAACCGAGCGGGCCGAACAATTAGCCGTTTGTTGGCGATACACCCCCACGATGCGCCGACCACCTAGAGAACATCTTTTATCTTCGTTTTAGGGTCTACAGTGAGCTGTACCCGCTCATCGAGGATTGGAACTGCAAGCCAAGGCCGTAAGCTGAACACCAACTTCTCTTTCGTGACAATGCTATGCTGGAAGAGGTCGGGACGCGTCTGCCGGACACGCCACGCCACGCTGGACTTGGTGCTACTTGCGTGATGTCAAGTTCCTTCATGTTCGACTCATAGTGTCGTGCAACGAACAAGACAGGCTGCATCTCCACTCAACTTTAGTGGAACGACACTAGATAGATTGCGTCTAAAACACTCCTTTCACCGGCATTTCCTAGCCAAAAACTAGAGTAAAAGCTTCTGAGAGCAGTAATGGCGGCTTTTGACACGCGCGCGGGGCTATGCAGCTCCACCTGTTAGGCCATTTGTGGGCTCAAAGAGGGCGGACCAACTTAGAGAAGCCCTCCTCCCCCGAAATGCTGCGAAACTCCGTCGACAATACACAGCGATAAACACGCGCCTCCACAGCAATAGAGGCGGGTGGGGGAGATCGGAGCTTCTGTGGCTTAGCGGCGCCTTCAACATGAGCCCATGCATAGCCAGCTGCACGAAAAGTGTCCGTTCAATTCGACGCCCCGCCGTTTAACACACCCGCTGCTAGGGACACTTCGAACAGAACTATACAAACACTATGATCAATTTCTGACTAGGGACACACGTCACAGGTTTCTGAAGTGTTGATACCAAGAGATTTCGTACCGGGTGGCGAAATGAAATTGTATCTCATGTTGATACGTCCGTGGAATGCTGTTATAGCTCGCCGTCAAGAGATAAACAACGGGCCATCGCTTGCAGCAGGGGAACCTTACGGTAATTAGCCTGCATCTGGTCCTTTTTCAAGCTAGAGTATGTAGAGGGTTCTCAACTCAAAGGTCTTTTGCATATCGCTGCTGCGGACTACAGACCGTAGTCCAAGAATTTTTTTTCAGGTTTGGTGTTGTGATAAAGCTCCGTGCTGCCTCGACTAGGGACGCGTTGGCTAATGCAAGCTGCTTGTGGCTCGCAGCAGGCAGGTCGTGTCTCTTGACGATACCACTGGAGAAAAGGTGCTTGTCAACTCGAGGTATCCAAACGAGCACCACGCGAAACACTTGCATGGTAACCAAAAGATGCCCCGACCTACTTTCTCTGTAAACCGGAGACCGCCGAAGCGGGACGAAGGACGTCGCTCGCGACGACCGGTCCTTGTCCGGCAGTGAAAAGGATGAGGAAGACGGGACCCGTTGAGTGAGCAAAGGTGAGTGAGAAAGCTCCAGCTCGGCATGCAAGCCAAAGCTAGCAGCTGAGGCCGCCGCGCAGCCGTCTTGCTAGAGATACTAGGTGGTTGATCGGCACGAGTTTTCGCAGATCGATCCGCAACCTGGTCGAGCTTGGCAGACATCGCTGTCAGGCGAGATGGCGAGTGTATTGCTCCGCGTTTGGTGACAACGGGACGTGGTGTTGAACCTCACCAGCAGCGCGATGCGCCGCCGGCGAACCGCTCTGCACATCTGTGCATCCCTGAACGAGCCGGAGGAGCCGCTTGATGATCACAATCGATCCACCGTGATCGTGCAAGCCTCGTTTCTCCGCGTCAGTTTGTGGCAATGCCGCTCTCGCCAAACGCCTTTTCACTGAGGGGCATCCCTATCTTGCTCTGAACGAGAAATAACACCCCATTGTTGACACGCGAAATGAAGAGCTGTGCGATCTCGTGCAGTTGTCTGGGTGCTTCGGTCTGGATGAGCTCACAGCCTGCGAGGTGGCAACTCCCGTGCCATCGCCATGAGCACCAAAGTTTCATCCGCATCGTCTCCCTTCGACCGTGGACGACGCCAATCCTCATGGACAGCTCTTGTGGCTCTTCGATTCGAACAACGAGATCTTTAAGCGTGTGGGTTGCAGTAGGGCGTGGTTGCTGCCATATGAACAACATTGAGCTGCTTGCGTGAAATTCACGTTTTGAAGAGATGATGTAGACAATAGATATGTGTTGCATTGGTGGCGGGCGAGGAACAGCGATGTCTTTTAGCTGTCGGCATAAGGTGAGAGTTGGTTTACTCTCTACAATGAAGTGCTTTGCATGCTGTTCATGAAATTGTAGCGCGAAGTCACGCTGGATCGACACCTTGACACTTAAAGACGATCCGGAGGATGTAGCGACGCCATGAGAATATCACATCGTCGAGGTTTATCAATCAAGCGCGTTGACATGAGTGCGATTCTGAATGGAAAGCCGCACGAGATGAGATGGAGGGCATTGTTGCACGACGTCTAAGGCCTCGGCGCAGAAGCTGAAAGGAAGAGCGCCATCTTAGTCCAAGCACCGCTGTCGATAGTACACACCCGCTTGCATTACGCGCACAACGTCGGTCACACCAGCGTCAGGATTGCCGTAATGTTGAAGCCGATCAATCTAAATTGGAGGATTTGGCGCGCGTTGCATTGTGGCAGCACCGATCGCTGGTATTCTACCGGTAGCTACTTGTACATGTGCTTCTGGTTTCACTGTGCGAGCACTCAAGCTACAGTTTGAGCACTTTGTAGCGATTTAAACGGTGCACCTCTACGTGTTCGCCCTGGTCTTCGACAGACAGCCTACATGTATCTACCGCAAGCTTGCCTCATATTAGTGAGTTCTGTGTCAGGGTGATGAAGCGTTTGTTTCGCCTCACGAAGCATAAGAAGGCGTCTATTGATGAATGTCCCCGTACATGGACATATTTTAGCACTTATTGACTCACTTTGAGTCATTAAGAGTCGATGACAACCATTGCCATGGTTTCATGCTGTTCATCATCCTTACGATGTCAAAAACTCGATTTGATTTTATATAGTCAAGTACTGCTTCGATGATGCTCATGTTTTCTCAGTTTACTGCTGGTTTGTACGTGTTAAACTGCTAATTCCGTACTATCAAACTCAGTGGAATATCCTGTGAAGTCTATTACCACGGTGTAGCTACATACTACTGGAAAAACCAGAGAGCCTGCGTATTCCAAGCTCACGAATAGTCTGCGTTCTATTTTTTTTTATTGTTATCCATTTACTGTGCATTTGTTTTTGCCGCTAGGCAATTTGAGTCATGTTTGGAATTCGGAAGAATTGGCGCTTGGTGTCGAACGAGAATGGCAACGTCAGATTTCCAGGACCTTTTGCTTCTTGTTCGGTCAGCACGCGTGTGATACGCTGTGCTAGCAACTGCGACGGGTACTCAACCAAGTAATAAGAAGTCGTGCACAATACGAGGATGAGACCAAAGCGGGTAAACAACCGATCGTAGTACATGCTGGGGTCTTTGCCGTAGATGTCACTGAAGACCACGAAGCTGTGCAGCAAGTACACAGAGAAGCTGATCTTGCCCCAGTATCGCAGTACACTCCACTCAAACATCGCAGAGATGCACGATGGTAGCAACATTTCGACTACAATTACCAACGTGACGGGGACGCTGATGAACGGGAAGCCTCCTTCGTCATGCTCTGGCTTATGCACCCAGTGGAAGAACATCGTCGGCTCTACTGACTGACCGGGGTGAGAGTTCCTACGAAAACATACACTGAGGATCAACGCTACAGCCGCATACTCAATAGCTCGGATAGCAAGCTTGTGTAGTCTGTTAAACTCGAACCCTGTGGCTTTCATCCACAAATCGAGCTTGACGAATAGAATGGCAGCCATGGAACCAGCCAGAAACGTCGGGAAATGAGGCATCAGTGGGGAGTGACTCGATCTGCGCAAGTGCCAGCCAGCGTATATGATCCACACGTACAGCGGGATGAAAGGAACCCACCAGAAGCGACGTAGATTCAGTACTCCCAGCACGAAAACCGGTAGACAGAAGTAGTAGGAGATCTCCAATGGCAACGTCCAGAAGACAAAGTATCGGTGTGGGAAGCTGAACGTCAGCACCTTGAACAAGTCAAAGTGGCCACGCTCTTTGACAAGGAAGTACTGTTTCTGCTTCTCGTAAGGTAGTAACCAAATAATCAAAACAACAGTGGCGAACAACGGGTAGACTCGGAAGAAGCGTTTGGAGAAATAGTCCGCCAGACTGAAGCCCCATTTACGGTAACTCGCGTTGTGTGCGAGCATCCGAATGCTCTTTTTCATGAAGATCATTGTCAGTAAGAACGAAGACAACACAAAAAATGTGTCCACCGCGCAAGCTCCAAGATCGAGGTCGTGCAAGTATTCACGGGAGTGCTGACTCACGACGAGAATCGCTGCCAGGCCGCGGACGCCATCGAGAAACAGGATTTTGGCTGGAGCAGCTGCAGATTTGGGCGGCATCGACACTTTTGCGTCGGGTTCTATGAGCTGCTGCGTGTCGGGGATATCCTGGACGTTAACTTGGATCTCTTCTAAAACAGGCGGATCTTTGTTGGACTTGCTGAAGCTGCTAATTGCCTCGCAAACCATGCTGTAGTAACCACGTCCAACACGGTGCTCCGTCTGAAAAAATCGGGCTTGAGAGGTTGGTTTCTTGTCGAAGAATGGGATCCTTATTACGAATCGACGGAGCTGGGATTGTTCAAGCAGTTGCGAGGCGATCGTTTCTGCGATGAAGTATAAGCGTTTTGCTGTATGCCTATTCTTGTAGTGATATTTATGGAATCAGTAGGATAGCATTTGGTATGTTACTGCGTTGAAAAGCTACAGAACCGTTTGGGATTCACGTGCCAGAACTCTCTATCTACTGGACACGATCTGAGCTCCTAAAGTAGTATACGGCTCTTGAAATAGAGTCCAGTAAGTCACAAAAAGTGAATACCGAGATTTAGTGGGCTCGTATTTCAAACACAAGTCTCCAATGGCTAGGAAAAACACGCGAGGAGTCCGTGCGAGCACCGACGAAGGCGATCTCGTCTTGGGCTCTGCGAATTGTGAAATGATTTTGTCTAAAGAGGAGTTCGACATGCTGCAGGCTTTTCATCGGTTTGTACCGCTACCAGCGCTAACTTCTCGCATCCTACGGGTTTACTGCGAAGACGATCTACAAGTTCCAGAGGTGTACGATGACGTCGAAGAAGCAGTCAATCCATCATCTGAACATGGACAAACTACCACGAAAGGCTCAACATCAGGCAACATTCTTCGTCATCCTTGCCGGCCCAGAAATCTCAGAAAGAAACCTCACTTCAAGGTCAATCTAACATCTCAAACTCCACGCATCCAGCAATCTAGACCACCAAGCTCAAGCGACTTCGAGCGCTCCGACCGTCCTGAAACTCCAGAATAACAAGTATCACATTAAAAAAAAACACAGTCAATTCAGCACACTTCATCTTTTCAAATTTTGGCTCATCTGGACCAAATTTTTACCACTTCACGGCTTATCAGCTTTCACTTCCATCTCGACGATTTCTCCCTCGTTTTCTTCCTCAGGTAGCAGTTTGTTCTCAATGAATTCGGCAATGGAATTTTCATCCCAGTGGGCCACGCTGTAAAAAAAAAGTTAGAAGAAAATAAATAAAGAAAAAAGTTTTTGCTCGTACCTGATCTCCTCGATCTTTTCTCCTTCTTCATCGAAGAACTGCAGCATGGGGAGTCTCGGGTTGGTTTCCTGCACCTCCAGTCTCTTGATGTTCTCGGCTTGGTGGTCCACAAAGTTTGCCACTTTCGGGTACCTCTTTAGGCGGCGTCGGTCGACTGCTAGTGCCACTTTAGGGTATCGTCGCCCTTCAGCTTCCAGCACTTTGGAGAAATCTGAGCAGCATTCTTGACACTCTTTAGTCACTTTGTCCACACTCTTCTGCTTCAACTTCTTTTTCGACGCTCGGGGGGTCAAGAATGTCGATAAATCGTCGCAAAGGCGGCAGTCCAGTGCGTCGGCGTCGAATCCGAGCGTTGCGCAATGATCTAGACGTTCACTGGAGACTGAAGGAGTGGTGGAAGGCTCTGCGGCAGACGTGGGAACCTCCTGGGCAGAGATACAAGCCGCAGTGAGCACGAGCAGCGTTGCGAGTCTCATCATGGATTGCTTACGTGGTGACTTGTACTTATCTGGTACACCAAGTTACGTTTAAAACATCTCTTTTGGTGTGGCAGACACTATTGGTGTTGTCAACTTAAATTTTGAATGCGTTAAACAAAATGTATTAGAAAATTAATTAAACGCCCCTCGTTGTAAAAATACTATAAAATTTCCTATCGGTTACAAAATCAATAGCGTAAAATACTGTTTTGTTCATGTATGACTCATACAGTATGAGGCAACGCCCCCGAATAGAGACGTCCTCTATTGGAGGCATACTAACTGCAAAACATTACAGTACATGCACCCAAAGAAAGCACCCGCAAAACAGTATTCCGACCCAAAATGTAGACAGGCATGGGCTATTGGGGCACTTTGTACAAAACAAAAGCCAAAATATCCTTAAGTTTTTTTTGTTTGTCAAAATGCCCATTTGAAACTGAGCAAACTCGGCTGTGGTCGATCTCGGACTCGAGTTCGCCGTAATCTCGCAAAACTTTTCTGTACTAAATCAGCTGTGAAAGCGTCCCGCGCGTCCGTGCTGAAGTCTGTCGTGAACTCTCTCAGCTAGCTTGCGAAGTGCGTCATGCAACGTTAATCGTCGCAGGGTTTATGTTCATAACGTCGCAACAACCGAAGTTAACGTCGCTTTGCTTATCGCGAAATTTGAAGTTGAATGTGACACAAATTTTTAATTAAAGTAAATAAACCGGTGAATAACTGGTAGAAATTACTGTTTGTTCTTTTTTAAGTACGAGCTTTTGAAGCCCTTCATTCTCGAAAACGGGGGGAAATCGGAAGACGACACGGCAGCAAGCAGCGCGGGCGAAGAGAATGCGCGACGACGACGGAGACAAGCACCCTGCGTCCGGCGGCAGCAGTGAAGAGAGCAAGGGAGCCGTAATGACGGAGAGCGGACCAGCTCAACCAGGTAATCTGCCGCTGTGAGAGCTGAAAATGAGTGGTATACTAATGCTCACTGAATGTATAGATCGGCAAGACGCCCACAGCGCTAGGAATAGCCTCAGCACAGCGAAAGATGTCACCAAGACTACCGGTGGGTATCATAGCGAAGTGGCTCCCTGTGAAGAACCTGATGCAGTCACTACTGGGGGCGACGGTGCGTAGTTTTTTTTGTGGATAATCTAACGTTGCTTGTTTATTACATTTCTTCGCTATGCAATGAATTTGCAATGACACAGATTTGCCTGCCGCTGGTGACGAGGGTGACGGGGCTGTTGGAAGCAAGGGTGCGTTTAATGCAGTTTTTCAGTTGATTAGCGTTGTTGTAAGGCTAACGTTGCCCGTGATTAACATGCTTGTTTACGTCACTTGCGGTTAACGTCGCTTCACTGATGTAACGTTGCTGGTTCTAGACGTCGCTGCTATCTCACGTTACGTCGTTCTACAAACTGCCGATAGAAGGCCAGATAGTCCAAGGAATAAGGCATAAAGGCAAAAGAAAACAAGGAGGCTCGAAGGAGGCTGCAGCTGGGAAGCAGCAAAAAGGTGACTATCTATTAATTTCTCGATATTTATGATGCCGACCTAATAGACGTTATTTGATCAGGTGAGCCAAAGAGCAAGCGCACTGCATCGCAAGCTGGGGCCGCTCCGTCTGGAAAGAAGAAGCTTCGTCTGTACTCGCCCCACGTGGCCGACAGGAGTACATCTTCGTGTGAAGAGGAGGAGAAGGTCGCGTCGCACGAGGACGACGAGAAGGGCGCGCCACAAGAGGACGAGGAGAAGGGCGCGTCGCATGAGGAAAGTGACGACGAAGATTTGCCCATGTATCTGCAATTTCTAGAAGAGAAGAAACCGCGTGAGCGAGCAAGTAAGACCACACCTGAGCGTGAGGCCATGATTGCAGCTCACGTGAACGTGAACAATCATGTGGATCCTATCCCACGGAAAGGGTATTCAACATGGATCTCGTGGATGTTTGAGTTTGAAGAGTATTGCACTAGTCACAACCTCAAGTTTCTCGTCCGCACGTCCAAAGCTGTCGAGGAGTACAACCTGTACGTTTCTTGTTTGCTTACGAACTCATTTTTATTAACTTAGCGCCTGACTATACATATGTAGAAATAACAATGCGAACGTGAGTGCGCAAACATTTCACAAGTATTTCTCAGCGTATCGCTGCACGCATCGAGTATATCAAGAACGACGAGGGGAGGGAAAGCGCAACGCAAGCGTCAACTTTACAGGCTGTCCTGCGCTGTTTGATTTGGAGTTGATGAACGTGGCCCCCCCCCCTGGTAAGCCTCCTCGTCACCGCTTGATTGTGCACAACGAATGGCGTATGCACAATCACACTACGGAGATTTCTGGTGCTACTGCAGGTATCAAGGAGCTTCCCACCCAAGGTGTTGTTGCGCAAACGGTCTCTGCATTGCACGACTGCAATGCATCGTCGGGCAAGATTGCTGGATATATGAGTGAGGAGCTTGGTAAGTAGGTATCATTAAGGGCGCTTACATATAGTTTAATGCTAATGTTTGTTATGTAAAGGCCGAACTATTACCTCTCAGGTAGCAAGAAATTTTATTAGGAAGCTGCAAGTCGGAAGCACGGCGCAATCTCGTTTGAAGTTGCTGCTGGACTCTCTTGCAGCAGAAAAGGACTGCGAAACCATAGTCATCCACGACCAAAATGGGTGTCACGTGTGCCATAGTTGTCCAGAGCGCAACGCAGAAGCTGGCCTTCAAGAACTGGGGCGAGACGCTTGCGATGGATTGGACACACGGGACAAATAACGTCGGGTACCATCTCGGTAATTATTCCTTCATTTCGGCAACGTTTTAAATTTTTTTATCTAAACCACGTAATTTCTTTTTTTAAAGGGAGTCTTGTAGCAACTATGCCAACCGGGCGAGGTTTTCCCGTTCTCGACTTTATGTCGCTTAATGAGAAAGCTGTAACGCTGGAGAAATTTTTTGATTTTTTTAAAAGCAAGAACGCATCGCGGATGAAGATCAAGACGTTTGTGATAGACAAGCATTTTGTGGAGTGGCGAGTGTTGGAGGAGTGTTTTCCTACTGCTAAAGTGCTACTTTGCCAATTCCATGCTATCATGTATTGGAAGAAGCTGGTGTCGAATCGATTCGGCTTGGTGGTAGTTGAACAAGATACAGTCCAGCGCTATTTTGCCAAAATGTTGTATAGGTACGAGCAACGTTATTCGGTTTTAGCAACGTTATCGGATATTATCTCACTACTTTTGCATCTTTTATATGTAACTAGCACGTCATTGTCTGCGTTTGAACTTACATACAAACAGTTCTGCTCCTTCTGTGCTGGAAGGTACCCAAATGTTCGTTCCTATTTCGACAAAAACTGGAAGGAGTGCCGTGAAATGTGGTCGAACCATCTGCGAAACAAATACTTCTCTGCGGGGGGGGGGGGGGGTAAAAACGTACGCATGTAATGATATCGAGTGGACGTGCACATGTCCGTTCTGGACAAGTCTGATGTTGCCCTGTCAGCTTTTGATGTATGTTTGCCGGTACGGGCATGGTTTTGAGGAGCTGCCCATTATGACGATTCCGTCTCGCTGGAGCATGGCCGAGGCCACGAAACTGTTCCCTCAGCTTGAGAAAAGCGCGTCGTCAATTGATACAGTAACGAGCACCATCAAGTTAAGAAATTCTGCAAGATGGAGAGCTATGTCCGCAGCAACGTTGTCTTCTACTAGCAACGTTAACCATACGAAGATTGTTTTAGGTTCTAAGGCTCGTGTCGCTTACGTCCTTCTTCGTCGCCGAGAAAGTGGAAATGTTGTCGTTCTGTCATCTGAGGAGAAGTACACCATGGCAAAGAGTGTGTTTGAACCGTTGTTGAACCATCTACAAAGCCTTTCGGGTACTGGCTTCTACAAAGCGCTTGAAAAGTGGGAGGATTTCGTGGCTGATGCCGTGAAGAATACTGACAAAGCCAGCGACACTAGTGACACGGACGAAGACAACTATGATGTGGACATTACGGATTATTACGATGCCGTACAGCTAGTGGAAGAAATGGAGAAGATGCAGTATGAGGAGGAGAAGGAGGAGGCGGACATTTGCCCGCCAACGCAACCATCGACTGTGGTCACGTTAACACAGTCGGCGACGTTACCAGAGCAAGCAACGTTAACAGAGACAGCTGCCAATAGCGCGAACGCGCCGACAACATCACCATTACCAGCGACATTATCCGCTACGGCAACGTTACCCGCCTCCGTTGAACCCGGTGCAGCTCAAGGTGTACACGTAACCGCCGCTGAGATGCCGTTATCAGCATTTGCACCGGCCACGTACTCCGAGTTTGAAGAAGCATCAGTATCGCAAATATCTCTTGGGGATATCAATATGTCTGAATCGTCACAGCGTATCATTGAGGCCACGAATGACACTGTACTGGGCGTTGAGGCTGATTCAACGCCAGCTCAACGTGGCTCCAATAAGCACGTGCCTGTTACAGAGCTAGTAGCTGGCAGTCAAAAGAGAGAAATCGAGCTCAATCTTCCCCGTCCCCACCAAGGGAAACCTCGAAAGAAGCTACGGCAGAAGTGGTCCGCGGTTGCTGCTAAACCACGCTATGTGATAGTCGAGTATCCGAGGGGTCTGACAGTGACAGTGGCCGAGGTCGTGAAGTGGGCGCTATATACACCGAGCCTTAAAACTGTTGCTGATATTCTGGAAAGATTTCCGTGTATCATGAATGAACAAACTTTGCGTGGACGAGCCCGACGTGTCAAGGAAGTGACCCAACAGACTGCCTCATCGTACTGTTATAGCTACGTGATACCCAAGGACCTGGTCGTCTCATTGCAAGCTGCAATCAATGACTTCAGGGCTTCTAAAAAGGACGAGTGTAAAGACATACAGAAGGCGCCGGAGGTGGTTGATCTTACATCGACACCCAGCTCGTCGGATGACAAGACCTTAGCCGTCTGGGTTACACCACGTCTGGAACCATTTTCAAGGTAACGTCGCAACTTAAACGTTGCTGGATTGCAATATCGTTGCTGTAGTGACGTTACATATTTGTTTCAGCAACGTTACCGAAGCCTTACTAACTTAATGTCTTATGGTTTGATGTAGTGAATGCGTACACACGATGACGACGTTCTACGAAATCAAAAGAAGTTGCGATTGGTGGGAAAGAGACCTGGATTGGATTACCCAGGATTGGATGAAGGTCACTGGGAGGCCCATTGAGTTTTTCGCTGCTCAGACTGACTCAGACGGCAAGGCAGCACCTGAGGCAAAACAAAGACTAACGCACCTATCCTTTGAGGTCAGTGCATTGTTTTCATCGGCGTGTTGCCACACAAAATTCTACCACAAAGACCCTACAAAGGGAATCTTCTTCCAGGAAGTGGTAGGATACGTGGCAGACCGTGCGTGGCTAAACGATGCTGTGCTAAACTACGCTCTGGATATCATAACCACCAGCCACCTGGGTGTGCACGTACTTTCGTCGTTTGTGGCCGACCAACGGACGTTCCCGTCTCCCCCGCGAGCCAAGCTTTTTTCAATGAGATTCGTCATACTCCCCATTAACATCAAGAGTTCTAACTGGACGCTGATTGTGGTAGCTGTGCATCGACACGGCACGATCACGGTGCACATGTACGATCCGCTTTGTACCACAGGGTACAGAAAACGAATGGAGAAAATATGGACGGCTAAACTACTACCGTATCTTCGTGCATGGCACTCGCAGTGGGAAAGCCAGGTGGCGCGGCAAGAGGAGCACCCCTTCCCAGCAGACGTGGACATTGAATGGTTAATGTCGCCCATGCAACCCGATGGATATAGCTGTGGTGTAATGGTCGCAGCGATGGCATACTCTTTTATCTACGGTGGCCGTGGATTCACGGTCGATGCTGTAACGCGAGACGTTGTGAAAGTAATGCGGCTAAGGTTGCTGTGGGTAATATTATGCGGATCACACGTCGAACCTATTGAAGAATCACTTCAAATTGAAGCTAAACGGATCGGCAAGCAGATTACCGCCGCTTTTGGAAAAGGAAGTAAGAAGATTTGGAACTAGGTGAAACAAATTCGTTGTTACAAATATAAGTATCACTTCAACTTCAACTTTGTATCCCCTTACGACTGGCGTCCTAATCCTCTTCCGTTTCGCTTGTCAAATCAATTTTGTCTTCACGTGTTAGGTCAATAATATTGACAGGAATGCTAGACAGACGAGCTTGAATTTTTTGATGCTTTGCATCTTGAGCCGGACGTTGTGAGCGTGCTGGACACTGTGGTTGCATCCGACAAGTTCGCCGACGCTGATCTTTGCTGATGCGTCTTGGAACGCCCCATGGGGACATTTTGGTCTGTTTTTCTCGGCCATAGCAACGTGGGCATCGGCGATCAATGCTGCAGTAATGCTGCAGTAATGCTGCAGTAACAGCTTGTATGCGCTCATTGCTCGTCAGCGCGGAAGTACAATATTCAATGTTGTTCTGTAGCCGAAGTTATATATTAGCGACGTTAACTACTAACAACGTTAAATGAGAGCAACGTTATCGAAGAGCAACGTTAACTGAGATTCGGGCGACGCTTACTTCTCCTGCAGCATCTTGCAGCATTCGGCTAAAAGCACAGAAAATGTGGGCACATTCGTCTTCTCCTCAGACGTGTCGTTAACCAACATGGAGAGCAGCTCGAACGCGTTGTCGTTTTCTTGGTCCAACAAACCTTTAACCTCGCCTTGGACTGCCACCAACTTGCGCGTGTACTCCTCCATCTCTACAAGCTTCTCCTGAAGCGAGGATAGATCCTGGATTCGTGAATGAGCTAGCTGTTGGGCAAGCCGTGGTGCCGAGGCGGGCCCGGGCGCTCGCTCGTCAGTCGCACTGGAGTCACTACCTGCGCAGTCCTTCATGGTCCAAAAGGTGATTTGTGACATGTGTCGCCAGAGAAAATAAGGGGGCGATTCAAATAGTAACTGTGTCCAGGATTCAACTGTCCCGTTTTGTCTTGAAAATCTATCATCACAATGTGGCTTATTGTTATATTTCATTTACCGATATACCAGTAAAAACTGGTTTAACGTCGACAACGTTGCGCTAACATGGTATCGTGACGTTGTAAGAGAGACAGTTAACGTTGCGTTAACGCCACTCGCTAGCTTGTACACGAGTTCGTCGAAAACATACCTAGCACGCCCAAACTCGAGTTCCCCGTCGCATGTTCGCATTCGATTCTGCCATGAATCCGCTCAGCTCATCCGTATTCGAACTGGATTTGAATGCGTCCAGCAATGCTGGCAGCATGTTCATATTCGGTTCGTCATAAGCCCGCTATCTTGTCCGTATTCGCGAGCTCGTCCTGCATGCCATTACTGGAGCCTCTCGTGAAGTCAGCCACATTTCTGGACTTGAATCTGCCGTGGCTGGCACGTCCGCACTCGAATATACCCTGAATCCTTCCTTTTGGCTCGTGTACGAAAACGCTGTGGATCCGTGCAGCTTACCAGCGCTTGAAGTTGGAATAGGCTCATCTGGGTGATTCTTCGTGATAGGTAATCACGTAGACCCATGCTATACTAACAAGCACAACCCGAAATCTCATTTCACTTATTATGCTGCGTCATTCTTGTCTTACATCATGTAAGTTACATGTAGTTTGTTGACCAGAATCTTCAGAGTGACGTACTATCTCGACTGCAGCTGACTTTCAAGAGCGTAGTTGTTTCGATGTCTCGGTGCGTTCCTTTCGGTCGTGCTGACTTGCTGAAGTCGCCTTCGACAGTGTGGATACCAGGAGAATGCTGACAAGACCAGAGAGCCCATTGATCTGGAAATCTTTAGTAAGGAGTGCGGCAGTTGGAGACGGATCTTCTACATGCTGATGCTGACTATTATTTGGGAAGATTCGTCGTTGCGGCTACTAACGTGAGCGTAATTAATGCCGTCTTCAACGGTAGGTTGAGTACCGATGTCGTCGAAGAGAGATCCATGGACGCGAAGGAATGTCAACTTGAATCTCGAGCCATTTTTAAATAGTCAACCCTTGGCTACAAAAAAATGCCCTAGAAAGTACAGTGCACCACTTTCCATCCCGTATTTCATCCTTTCCATTTGTACTGTCCATATTGTATCGGTTAGGGCCTGTTCAGCAAATCCACTGTTTTTATCCGCCGAATTTCGATTTCCGCAGTTGTCAATCCACTAAAAGTTTGCTCAACACAAACATGTAATCAGCTACTAGTATCCGCTAAATTGCAAGTAAAATCGTATAATTGTATACATGTGTATAAATGCAAATGGTGTGCATTATACGCTGCTCTGACGACAGACCTCAATACAGAATAAAGCAAATTCATTTACACGAATCAAGGAACGCTTAAACGTCAATCACACTTGAATCTAAAAATAGATTCTCGTCCACTCCACACGGCAGTCCCCTTAACAAAAATCGATTTTGTAGCTGTCCGGTTGCAGCAAATGACCATGGCGTCACCACAAGCTGCGTCACGCTACAAGGGTAGCTTCACCTGGAGTCGCGGAGAGAATTAATATACAAAGAACGGCGACACTTCAATAGTGTCATGCCTAGCGTATTCGATGTGAATCTGTCGTACTGGTAGGTGGGAAACGATAACCTTGGCCATGCTCTCCAAGGGCAAAGCAAATAGGCAGACATACGCTGTATGTGACGCACAGGGGCGGCGAAGGTTACGTAGGGGGCGACGGGTGAAGTTAACACTGAATATCTTCATGATAAATGTGTGTTTCTGAAAGCACCCGACACTAGTCCGCCAAACGTGTGTAGGAAATCAAAATGCAGGTTGATCAATCCACTAAATTCCAAAAAGGATCCGCAAAAACCGCTGGAAGTCATGACCTCTGAATAGGCCCTTTTGCAACTCACAATGTTTTGCAGGATGAAAGTCTTCCCACAGACTGCAAACGCATTCATAACGTTTTCTTCACTTTGTCATTCAAGAATAATGGATTTACACTCTCAACGATATTATAGTTAAGACCAGGGCGAAGAAAAAATCGATAAACTAACAGTAAAGCGATATACTCTCTGAGAGTCTGTCCGATCAGGCATTATCGCTTTAATTTTAAATAGTGTAATCCACAGATATAGATTGAAAGGTTTCGTATTTAGTGCTTATTTACCAATACAAGATTGGTATTTGAAACGAGATGATATCATTGGTTAAATTTTGGGTAGGCCCTAAACTGTTTAACTGTGAGTTTTGCACCCATTTTCGCCATTTGACGGATTTTTTTACGAGAGAAAAAAAGACCTCTTACAAATAAAAGACCTCCGTCAAATATTCGATGCTGTTCTAGAATTTGAAACCCTCTACGATTACAAGACCGCAACGCTAGCGCTCAACCAGCACCATTCAAGGACAGTTTGTCGGTCCTGATCAACGCTTGGAAGCGACCGAGTGTTGTGGAGTACACTCGCAATGGCAACCCTCACCCGCCTCCTGTGCGTAGTTGCATGCACGAAGCGTGGCGCGACACGCCTTAGTCTGTTGTGCTGAAATCGATTAAGACTGCCGGTTTCGATGTCGATTCCACGCGTTGATTTGTATGAAATCACGACGTCTACGGGTGGAAGTTCGAGCAGTCTTGGAGCCGTGATGAGGCAGGAAACGAGCTAACTACGGAGCTCGAGTGTGACGACCCATTCCATTTCGACGATATCGATGTTGCGCTTGATGAGGTTGGCGTAGTATAGAGGCCCTCTACGAACAGAGGACCCCTCGTCAAAAATGATCGAATTCATGGGGCCACTAATAAATAGAAGACCGATCACTATTCGTAAAAATCTGTTAAGATTTGCAAACGCATCAGGTTTCAGCATAGAAACCCGAGGATATTTGGCAAAAGGAGCATTATATTCAGAAGTTTATCAAAGGTCCGAGGCACGAAAACGGGGCGCAGTACTGTATCGTACTCTGGAGCAATTGCAGTGGCTCATATGTAACACGATGGTATCGCTTTCAATTATCTCTTTTACTTCGACCTGGTCCTTAATGTAGTATCAAAAGATGCCAGTTCTAGCTCTATTTGCCAGCCAGACTATTGTAGTACTTGGTAGCATACGTGTAAAACTTCTCCAAGTCTGGGTTGTTCTTCCTCGCCACTGCCGAATCCGCGATGAGCTTGAGCTTCGGGTCCAGCTTCAGCGCCTCAAAATACGCTTCTGGACTAATCTGGTTCTTGAGTAGAACTTTATCCGTAACGCCCTTTTGGATCAGATCTTCCGCTTTTGCGACTTCTCTCTTGCCGGCCTGGCTTTTGTTGTAGAAGCTAGTATACGATAAAAACTTTTCCAAGTTGGGATTGTTCGCCCTCGCAACCGCCGAGTCCGAAACGAATCTTAGCTTCGGGTCCAGCTTTAGCGCGTCGAAGTACGTCTCCGGGCTGATCTTGTTCTGGTACAGAACATCGTTCATGACGCCCTTCTTGATCAGACCTTCAGCCTTTGTGACCTCATTCTTCTTGGTCCAGAAGAGAGAGTACGTGAAAAACTTCTCCAAGTTGGGGTTGTTCGCCCTGGCAACAGCCGAATCAGAAATAAATTTGAGCTTCGGGTCCAGCTTCATCGCGTCAAAGTACGCTTCTGGGCTGATCTTGTTCTTGTACAGATCGTCATTCATGACGCCCTTCTTGATCAGATCTTCTGCCTTCGCCACTTCACTCTTGTACATCAACGACTGGTACTTAATCGCTACCTTCTCAGCCACCTTCTCATACTTCGTCGTGGCTGCCGTAACCGGCTTCGATTTGGTAAACCATGACTTAAATTTTTGCAGCCATGCCTTCAGCTTTGCTGCAAGATCCGAGAATCCGCGTTCTTCATCGACTTCACCCGAAGCTCGAAGAAAGCGCTTGTCATCGGTTCTCCACGGAGTGGCTTGTTCCAGCTCCGGCTTTGACACCTTAAGCTGGGGACGACTTGGCATGAAAGCATTGCTGCTCGTAATTGCCACGAGAGTGAGGACGAGGAGAAGTAGGAAGCTGCGCATGGCACTTGTTAGATTGGAAAATGGCGAGTGTAGTTTGACGTCTTGGGTCTTGGTTGTGGGGCGTTTGGCGAGTTCGAGAATGAATGAGTGGTCTAGGTGTTAGCTTGGTAATCTTTGTTAACATCACGGGTGTTTTTTGTCGTTACAGTGTTACAGTATGAGGTGTACTTGACAACAAAATTCTACTTGTAAGTAGAACGAAATATAGGGTTGCTCAAATCTGCGAAAGATTTCAGATGGTGATTGTCGCCCATCATAGGGTTGAAATGGTTGTTCCTATTTCCCACAATAACATTAATTGCGGGAAGACCCGTTGCTTTCATTTCAAGAACTTGCTGGAAATTTTGCATTAAATGAAACTGATATATTTGGATCGAAATAATTACTCCGAATCAAAGCTTCACCTACTCAAGCTGTTTGTATCAAGAAATGAACCGATGACCACCCCGTTCTCACGCTCGACTACTGCGGTGTCTTTTGAGTATTATCGTAGCAAGAACCGAACCATCTACGAGTTTGTATCCCACTGAATGACGTGTAAAAAATACTTAGCAACGACAATTACTCATATTTCATTGCCGCAAACCGAAGGGAAAATTAGTAATACCCTATAAAGCAATTGATATTGAATCATCAATCAATAGTACGAGTTTGAAGATCGGAGGAGTCATTTAGGTAGCTCTATATAGCCTAAAGTGTAATACGTACGTAAAGTCCTGGCTGAAAGGTGTGTACGCAATTATACCTAATTATATTTTGGGTCTTGCTTCTTACTAAGTGGCTGTTTGCATTGTTTGAGAGCGTATTTGTCTTGGTGAATCTATAATGTAGAGAACTCGTTTAATGATATTATCCTCCCATTTGTACTGTTGAAGCTTTCTCTTTAGTACGATGGAATGGAGTTTAGTCTACTCCTCAGGTTGTTATGAATCCTATAAGGTCTCTTTAGAAGTGCTTCTATTAAATGCACTGCTTCGTATCTCTTGACGGATGATAATTGTATCATCTTGCTAGATGCACGTTGAACAAAAGCTAAGTTTGGGATCACTAACAAACAGAATGCACGCAAAATGCTAGCAACGCAGCTACATGTAGTATCCGTGTGACTCTTTTCACATCACGAATGTTCCTGGAAGAAGAACGCACTATAAAAAAAAAGAAACGAGTTAACCAGTAAATAAAATAACTGTTAATATCTGCCACTCAAGTTTACATAGGGATGTCGTCGGGAATCAGCTTTATTTCCCACAATCAGAGCGACCTGCAGATCACAACACTGTCGCCTGTAAGGATCATGTGTCGGAAACAGATGAAAACTCGCGAATTTTCTCCAATGAGATCGTTTGATACTCTGAAGGCTGACTTTACTAATACCGGTATTTGGAGTTTAGAGGAGTTTACATGAGTCTGGGCCAGACCCTGTATTTGGAACAGATTCAGATCAGATCCAATTGATTATGTACTACAGAAGACCTTGCACGCGTACGAGCACAGGTAGGCAGGCGTACGTGACCTGCTCACGCACTCTGGTGTCGACATAATCAATTGGATCTGATCTGAATCTGTTCCGAATACATACTGTTGATAGCGACCAGACAGATTGATAACATGTGGGCTTTGCTGTCGATGTACACATGCTGCTATTAAATAAAAAGACAGTTTGTTTGAACTGGCTGGCAATCTGAAAGAATTATCTCATTTTCCAGTACAGTACTGTAAGCTTATCGAATACCACCAAGGTATGCAAACCATTTACACGTATAAAAAAAAATAAGTAATTTAATTCCTTGTCATTTGTGTAATTTACACATGACACGGGATTAGTTTTTCTCTTGCGTTATTTTGTGCCAGAGACAGAGATGCGATTAGTGTAAAACGGTTTTAAAGCTGAATCCGCCGTTTTGATCAGATCCGTAGGCGACTATCGGAGACCAGTGTGCGGTTCGTGTACTTTAGAATGGCGCGGCAGTACGAGATGCAGGTACTCAGCAGTTACTCGAGTACATTCGCTTAGATCTTAACTAACGATGTATACCCTCCCTGTACAGAGCGTCTGCATCGGCGTCGATTGAACCTCGATGCTCTCGAGGAGGCCCTACACGGTAGGGCGGAGACTCTACCTACTGTTGACGACGTCCATCTGCTGGGCTGGACTATGCTGGAAAACTGGTGACACTGGTGAGAGCTGGAGACGTAAATACCCAAGATGAGGTATGATCTAGGAATATGTTGAGTGGATATGCTGTGGTTCATTGGCTCGCTACACCCACATTGCACTCTTTCAGCTTTCGACAGGTATGCCGACCTGGGTAGAAAAGATATAGTTGGTTGTGGCCGCCCGATAAACCACCCATACCTGATATTCCGTCAGCGCATTGTGATGTCCCAGCGGTTGCTTTGGCGCCTGCTGTAATGCACGTTGATCTCCTCGCCGCATCCTACAGTCTCGGCATGTTCTGGAGATTTTTGCCCAGTTCCATTCTGTTTTGTTTAAGGCTTAAGATTTTAAGCTGTTTCAAATACGGATAATCAGCTACCCTGCCCTCCACTCGCCACGTACACCGATCGATTCACTTTTCCTTCTTTTGCCCAATAGCTGTACTAGTAACAGCTACCAGTATACGGTATCTCTACGGCAACGAGAACAACCTGCAGGTCGAGAATGGAGCCGATGGAACTACGACAGCTCCTTGTGTCAAGGCTTTCCTTCGTGACATACGAAGTTACGCAGCTAGTTGCTCGGCAGCTGTGCGTCAAGTTCCCATGGGGCTGGACATTGCTGATATTCCACCGCGCTGGCAGTGGATCTCTTACTATGACTGTGCCGTTGACAACGACGAGAACTCGCGCGCTGAATGGTAAGTTCATTGTTCCAAGTCCTGTTCCTCTTTGTACTAACCATTGTATTCGATGTAGGATGGGCTTCAATCCTTACGTCGAGTGCGATCCAGCCACTCACACGAAATACTCGCAGTCTAGTGGTTTGAAGACGCTGATGGACGAATACGCCGAGGTGAAATATGCTCGTCCTCTCATGTTCGGCGAGTTCGGCTGCAACAAGGGTGAGAACACCATCGACGGCTACGAAAACCAGCGCGAGTTCTACGACGTGAGTTTAGCTCGTAGCGTTCGAAGGAATACGATACTGATATCGCATTGATGCGGGCGAAATGGATGAATGAGGAGCCTGAGATGACTGCTGAGATCGTAGGAGGCAACGTGTTCGAGTTCACTACGGAGATCGCCAACTTGGTCGACAAGTCCGGTACGCAAGCCCTACATATCATGGTAATGTACAAGTCTGACTGACGGTACTTGTAGCCCTGGTGAAACCTGCCGACGCTGGCAAATACGGTGTGGGGTATTTCCAACCGGACGACTGCGACCATGACACGACCCCGTGCGAGTTCACGCCCTACCCGACAACCTCAAGAAGGCATACACTACGACCAAGATCTCGACCGTCACGTACGACAGCTACACTCCGTCTCGAACTAAGATCCCAAGTCCATGTCCACGGATCTCCCGCCGATGCCAAATGGTACCGTCTGTCTGTTTAACAACAGGCTGTTGCTGTCAACAGCAACTTGTTCGTCTGCAAATGTTGAAGTTGAGCTAACCAAATGTTCGTGATTCATGAATTGAAGTGGA